CACAGAAGTCGATTTACTGCTGAACACCCTCACTCAATTTTGAGGATTTGCTCAGCTCAGAGCCTGACCCCAAATATTGATGAACTTGTAGAAAAGTTAAGACACCACCGAGTATCAGCCTCAGCCTCAAAGAAGTGAATATTACTTATAATATACTGTGCAATCACATACTAAGAGTTTTTACTCAGTTCAAGTTTAAAAATTAAAGTGCAATATTTGCTTTCGCTGCTTGTTACTTCTTGAAGAAAGTGTTGTTTTTGGTTTATACATTTTTGCACTTTATTTTGTTGTTTTTCAATCCAATTATGTTTTAAAAATATTTTATTCGAGTAAATGATCGAAAATTACTGCACTATTATTTGTTTTTCTTTTAAGTAAATTTAGCCTACTTTTGCTAAAAGAGAAAATATGGACTAGTGATAGTGCCTTGAATAATATCGGCTTCTTTCATTCATGTTATGGGTATTTTTATACAAAGGAAATTTTTTTATGCCTGTTGAAAATTAAAGTTTACTGACATAGCCATAAAAAAATGTTGCTTTATTTATCTGACCGTATTGGAATGTATTTGTTAGGTTTTCGGTCAATTAAATTTGGTTCAAGAAACAATATGTGGTTATTTTTAAAATTTTCAATGAACATTCGATCAGTCCGGCCCTCGGCTTGCAGCAAAAATTTTTATCTGGCCCTCCGTCCATTTGACTTTGACACCCCTGGCCTAAAGTGTTTCTGTTTCAGGTCAATTGGGATTACTCCCAATTATTTCTACTTGCCTAAATGCCACAATAATGAGAGAAAAATTCCTCTTTTTTTTTTTCATAGTTTGTCATGACTTTCTTCAAAGTGTGAAGTTTACAGTAAATTCACCGTTACTTTAAACAATTTGGGGAAACCCAGATGATGATGTCACCTTAATTTTTTGGGTCACCATAATATATTGAGGTCAGACGAAACTAAAATTGAACCGTTTGGCCATATTGAGCATTGCACGTTTGGTGGTACAAGCGGGGGAAACTTGCAAGCCTGAGGACGCTATCCCAAATGAGAAATATGGAGGTGGTTGCAGCATGTTTTTGGGCTGTTTTGCTGAAGGAGGCACCGGTGCACTTGACAAAATAAATGGCATCATGTGGAAGCAACATTGTGGAAATACTGAAGTAACATCTCAAGATATAAGCTAGGAGTTTGGGCGTAAATGGGTCTTCCAAATGGACAATGACCTGAAGCATACTGCCAAACTGGTTACAAAGATAACCAAGAAGAGTGTGCTTTAATTTTATTTCAGATAGTGAGGAGTGGTTTGTGTCTTTTTATAAAATGTATGTGAATTTCTGGTTGCAACTGCATATACAATGTTATATTTGTGGCACTGAATGTGGATTTGTTGACTAGTTGAGGTCTGGAGCTCAGCAAGTTAGAATAGATTAAACTGCAGACGGCCTTTCTGGCAGTGTTGACAGATGAATAACTGCTGCCAAAGTTCTTGTTTTGGCATGCCGATGACCTTAATGTAGTGTTAGTTGAGCACTCAGTGTTTCCTCACGGCAAAGAACACTTGTTTTCCTACAGTTTTTTTTTTTTTAATTAATCGCCTGCACTGCTATTTGTCAGTGTTTGTCCATATAGTACAGGTTTAAAACGTGCTTATCTACATAAAAAAGTTTGGACTTGGTTGTCTGTTTAAATGGAATTTGTCAGCACCCTTGTCACATAGTTTATAGCAAATGTAAGGTCAAACAGTGAGCTCCACCAAGAGACCTGTACTCAACTTCAGATGTGTTTGAGTTTTGAATCAACATTTCCCAAAGGAAACCGTAGCAATAAAATAATGTATTTCCAGAGTCGAACTCACCATCATAAAACATTTATTAACAGAACAGGCATCTTTTGAGTAACATTTAACTGGCTTAATGGTCATGAATATGACGTTTACCACTGTTAAGTTTACAATCAGTAAAACACTGTACTGTAATGTTGCGAAGTGCTTACTGCTTTGAATGCGGGTTTGTTAACATCATGGCAATATGTTAATGAATTATATTTAACTATATTTAAATATTTAACTGACGTCGCTTGAGGTGCATTGTCTTGTGTGCTGTGAGGTGGAATGACTCTTCAAAAAGTGTTGTTTGACTTAAGAATTAAAAATTATAAATAGCCAAGTACAGAGATGTGAACATTTGACTGAAGTAGAGTTTTGAAGTGTTTGTTGTGTATGACCTCACAAGACTGGTTAAACCATACTGTAATATTTATCACACTTCACTTGCATATGCAGCAGCAGGTTAAGTGCTTGATTTGACAGAAAGGCATTAATTAAAACAAGATTTACATCCCTGCAGTTAACATGTTTGTAGTGGAGACTTTCCTCTGCAAGGTAATCTACAACCATAAATCAAATTAAAAAAGAAAAATATACCCGTGGGGCACCAAATGTCAAACTTCAAGATGTACAGGTGCTAGACATTTTTTTTTTTTTTTTTTTTGGTCACATCTGCAATAGCAGCCTTTGGCTCTTGGAACAGTTCCCATACAGCGTGACCAGAGTTTTCTTGGGGCGCACGGAGGTGTGGGGTTGGGCCGACTTGTCAGGAGGCAGAGGAAAAAGCAAAACACTGCTTTGTAATTAACATGTCTCACTCACCATGTGATTCATGAGCACTTCCTGTCTGTTTTTCACTCTGACTGCCACTGGGACAGCAGATGAGCGTCCCGCAGCAACCTGCTGTTTTTAACTGTACATCTGTAGATCTGGAACCCCGGCCTTGACTTTGACAGCGTGCTGTAAACATGAAGTAACACTATGTAAAACACTTAAACTTTTAAAAACACACTTTTTAATAATATTTATTAGCGCTTGTCCTCACTCGCTCGTGATTGAGATCTAGGATATTATTGTATAAAGTCACTTTTAGGAAGAAAAAAAAACAACTTTCATTCGTACAGTTCCCTAAATAAAAGCTGTTTTTTTGCAATTCCTCTTGAAGTTACACACACACACACACACACACACACACACACACACACACACACCAATCGCAGGGCACACATAGACACACAACAACCATACACACTCACAATCTCACTTAAGGATAATTTAGAGTGATCAATTAACCTATTGTGCATGTTTTTGGAATGTGGGAGGAAACCGGAGTACCCGGAGAAAACCCACGCAGGCCCGGGGAGAACATGCAAACTCCACTGTGATCTCTGCACTGTGAGGCGGACGTGCTAACCAGTCAACCACCGTGCCGCCATGCATATTCAACAGGGGTGTCAAAAGCATTTTTGCCATGGGACATATTGTAGTTAGTTTCGTAGGGCCATTATGACTGTGAAACCATATACATGTTTAATCACCCCCTTTTTAATATTACATATACAGTACAGAATTATTGGATAACAACTTTTAAAATCAAAAGGATAGTAGTTGGTTCAACTGTTGTTCAAGATTCTGTTACAAGACAAGAAAATGCTTGCAATATCTCAACATTATTGTTTATTACATGAGAAATTAAATTTTGGTACAATTTTTTTTTTTTTTTTTTCCATTTGCTTTCATGGGCCACATAAAATGATGTGCTGAGTCAGACCTGGCCCTCGGGCCTTGAGTTTGACACCTGTTATACCATAATCCTATAATATTGTGTAATTTAAGATCATTTTATATGGCCCGCGTAAGCAAATCAAGCATGTTAACCGTGTTGCTCGCTAAAGTCTGAACCAAACAGTCAAATTGTAATATGTAATCCATAATAACATCGAGAGATTGCAAGGATATGTGGAAGTGATTAAACATATGGTGTCACAAAATTGACAGTCATATCGGTCCTCCAAGGGAAAACGTAACTACAGCGTGGCCCATGACAAAAATGAGTTTGACACCCCTGGCTTAAAGCATATGGTGTAGATAAAGCTATACCGAAAAGTTAAAAAAAAAAAAAAAAAAAAAGTTTCTCAGTGTTGTCGTTTGGCAAGTAGTAAAACGTATTCCCTGAGAAAAACTACTTTGAAAACTGTACTCCATTATACAAAGAACAGTTCCCGAGATTTGTCCTCGGTTATAACTAAATAACCCAAATATTTAAAAAAAGAAACTATTTCTGAGGTGTCAATCAAATCCAAACACATTGGTATACCTAATGTTTTGGACTGTGAGTGTCTATTTACATACACATTGTAGGCACGTCTGAGGCAAGTGAAAGAGTTGCTCTCAAGAGTTTTCAGCCAGTGCCACTAATGAGTTCACCGGTGGGGGCTCGCCTCCAGTAATGACATAAACTCACTATGTGCATGTTTTAATTGCTTCCTGTTCTTTACTGCTGGAGGCTGGAAGTGCACCGGTTAACAACTGGGGGTTTTGCAGCAAACGGGGGCCTTCTATCTCTGGCTCTGATGAACACTCGCACCGTTGTAGCTCCAGGCTTTTAGTGCATAGCATAACACAATTTGTCTTCACGCATGAATACATTGCGACAGATACATGGCAGGTTTCAAATGATACAGCAGTTTGCTGTTGTTGTTTTTTTTTTTTTTTTAATACAGTATGGAAGTAAGTAGATTTGTTTTGGGTGCCTGTGTTAGATGGTGGACACTAAAAGACAGCCCCCTCCATTGACTCTGCTTTTATTTGACGGTTTTATGGCAGAAGATGGATGTTAAATATGTATTTTCTGTACTTTTACACTCCCAGCCCCACCTATCATCAGCCACCGGTTAACAACCCATAAAACACAATTCGTAGTTTTATTGGAGTTGTCATTCATTTCCAAGTCACTTTTGTATAAATATGCCATCTCTATTTCTCTCTTGTTATAAGCAACAGCAGCAACATGCAGATGGCGACCATGAGTTTTTTTTTTTTGTTTTTTTTTTAACCATGTATGTACGCTCATCTAAGCAGTGATTACAAAGTTCCCATAATATTAACGACACACAAAAGTGGCTGTGTGCGGCCTTTAAGGAGTCACCGGTTTTGCTGTCTACCATTGTTATTATATTACACTGATGTGGTGAAAGCGTCTGTTTGAACAGATTCCCCGAAATGTCTTGCAGGTCGGCTGGAGCACAGCGAGGGACTATTACACATTCTTGTGGTCCCCCCTCCCTGAGAGCTATGTGGACGGCACCGCAGTCAACAGAACAGTGGTCTTTCAGGGTAAGATCATCGTGCTTGTATATACTAAGGTACCTTTTGATAAACCACAGGTTAGATGCCTTTTTAAAATGGTTGAATGAGAAAGGCTCTGTGTGCTGTTGTCGGCCGTGGTTGAGTTAAGGCTTTTGTGTTTTAATACAAGATTTGGGGCTTTTCTGAAACCGTTTTTGTGTTTTCTGTCATCTTTTCCAGGATATTATGTGCCCAATGATGACGGCGAATTCTACCAGTTCTGTTATGTGACCCACAAAGGGGAGATTCGTGGCGCCAGCACACCGTTCCTGTTTCGCGCCAATAGCCCCTCTGAGGAAGAGCTGCTGACTGTGGAGGACGAATGCAACTCTGACATTCTGGTGGTGACCACCAAGGCGGGATTTCTCGAGGTAAAGTCAGCATAATTGAATGTGAATGTTGACTTATGGGCACACTTGAATAACCGGTCTTTTGTTTTGGCCTTATATTCCTATTCAAACACGAACAGAAGACTGGGCATTTATTTGCCTGTGCCTTTTCCTCAGACAATAAAACGATGTTTTTCAGACTTCTAAAATAGTGCTTGAGATTCCTTATTTTTATGTTAACAAATGTTTTAATACCATTCTGAGTGCATAGATACGTACAGTGGCATCTTGAGTTACCAGGGTTTTTTTTTTTTTTTTTTTTGCCTGAGAAGGTTGTCATTTTTTTTGCTTTGTGTTGCATGTCCAAATCTGAGGTACAAGTGAGCTTCAGCTATGCCGACGTTCAAATGAAGAGGAAGAAAAAAAACCGAGCCCCTATCACTGAAACTCTTTCAGCTGTTTTATTATTCAGGACACACAGCCAAACATGCAAATACAGAATGAAATCACTCTCAAGGAGCATGGAGTAGGATTGACATTGACCTAAGCGTGTGAGAAATGGCCAAGCCGAGCTGGAGTCAAAGCTCCTGAAATCACTATCCACACCCCTTAATGGCGTTCATCAATGCACAAACACTACAATGTGTGTGTGTGTGTGGGTTGGCTGAAATACACTTGATGAAACCACTTTATTTTTTTGCATTCTGTTATTAGGTTTTGTTGTGTACTTATATTTTACATTACAGTGCATTTTTAATATAAAAACATGAAACCCAAATGTCTTCAAAATACCTGCGTACACTGGGATCTGGCCTTACTGCATCATTTACGGCTGTGAGACGCAGCGCAACAGGTTGAGCAAGTTAGTTTTCTCTTTGCAGCAAAAGGTGGAGGAAGCCCAGCGTGTGAAAGATGAGCTGGTGAAAAAGGTGGCTCTGCTGCAGCAGGAGATGGAGCAGCTGGAATTGGCCAAGGAGAGCCTGCGGAAGGCGTGTGAGCGGGAGGAGGAGAAATGTGATCTGCTGAAAAGACAAAATCAGGTAAAGTGGAGTTTAAGGCAGGAAGAAGTCACGATTTATTTCATCAAAGTGGACACTCACTGACTCCACAGTTATGAAGTGCACTCATGCATCACTGTAAGATCATGTTGCTGCTGTTTGACGAGAGCCGTTCCAATGGCACCAAACAGTCTCGTAGCACCCCCTAGTGAAAGACATCCAGACCTATTTTAAGGTACGCCTCTGATGGCATAAATCAAGATTTGACAGATATGTATGTCTGCATTATCAGCTTGCATCTCAACATTTTTACAACTCAACCATTAAGTCTTAAAAGTAATGTAGGTTTAAATTCATTTCACTCTCTTCTGCCATAAATCTGCTCGTTTGAAAACAGCTTGTAGAAGAGTGAGGTGGCTTATGGTTGTTAATTTTATGAACATACTTTTTTTTTTTTTTTTTTTTTTTTTTTGGTGGGGGAGAATATAATACGGCCAAAATTATACTCTTACGTAGTAAAACAAATAGTTTTCTGTTTGGTTTTTTTGGTGACATTTTTAAGTTGAATTGAATGGTTAGCATTATTTGGACGTGCAATTGATCAACATTAACCTTTTTTGGACAAACTTAACTGGCTTCTTTTTTTTTTTTTTTTTTTTAACGACAAGTGGTTAGCTTCTTTACAGTTAGATGGCACATTATTTGAAGAATTATTCCATTCTGCTGTCTAGGAACTGCAGACTTCTTCCAAGGTCTTGCAAGAAGAGAAGGAGGAAATGAAGAGGAGGCTGGAAGAAGCCACATCAAGGGTGTTACAGCTGGAGGAAGACCTTATCGGAGTCACCCAGAGAGGCCTACAAAAGGAAACCGAGCTGGACTTGTAATATTTGCATACACGACAGTTCATTTTCTTGACAGACTTACTTAAAAAAACACTCACTCGGTCAAAAAAAGCCTTCAGCTGCAGTCTATCCTGTTGACTTTGATTTCCACGTCATTCCAAATAAAATCTAGATTTTTACTCATAATTAAATTAACCTGAAATGAAAATATTCTTCATATGTCACAGTGTGTAAAAAAATATGACTTATGATAATTTTTTTTAATGTTGTGTTTTGTAGTCTGAAGGACAGAATGAAGAAACTTACAATAGAGAAGGAAACACTTGAGTCTCAACTCAACAATGAGAAAGATGAGAAGGAACTCTACAAGGTAGTGTGTGCTCGTATTTTTATGGCTTATCATTGTTATTATTATTATTATTATTATTATTATCATTATTATGTCATTGTAGTAGGGAGACCACTTCCCCAGTTCTGGCTTCTCTTCACTGTGTCCCAGTTCATTTTAAGGATACTTCTATGTGTTTTCAAATCTTTAAATGGCCTCGCCCCAGCTTACCTCTCTGAGCTCCTCCTCCACCCCTACGCACCTGCCCGGTGCCTCAGGTCTGCTGACCAGAAGCTACTGCAGGTGCTGAGGACTAAGCGGAGCCTCAAAGGAGATATCAAGCCTTTTCTGTTGCCAATCCTTCCCTCTGGAATGACCTTTGGTTAAATATGAGGCAGTGCCCCTCCCTGTCTATTTTTAAAACTCGTTTGAAGGCACATCTTTATTCTTTGGCTTTTGACCCAATATGAGACTGACAGCGTTCTATTGTTTTCTGGTGTCTACTGTGCAAGAGTTAGTTTTCCCAAGATGAAAAGCAGTATTGGAATGGCAAGGTCCCAGGATGTGGCAACAAGGAGCTCTCCTGTCACATAATCATTTTCTCCAATTGGTTGGCAACAGTTTACTTGACAACTATGTTAAGTGACAGCTTTACGTCATGTACAATTTACGAGATTGCCTCAAAAGGGGAAGTCTGTTTTGAACTTTTTTTTAACTACTGTGTTTATTTTGCACATTTTTTCCCCCCAAAACATCTTCTGAAGCGGGCTTGCCATATTGATCTGTCCTCTGCTGTGTCTGCTGCTTGTGGGTCTTTTCTTGTGGTGGGCACTGCAAAGGAAATGGGATTGCCACAAACTACGCAGTCATGACGGAAATTTTTCCCCCCCAAAAACATCTTATCCCACATCTTATTTAATTTCAATGATAACTGTATGGCGGCCGAGCTCTACCCAAATTACTTCTTTATTTTTTCTGTTTGTCATGGTAAACTTATTTTGACTGTGCACTTATTATAATGATTAGAATGAAAAAAGATAATTTGTTGTGTAAATGGTGTCAGTGCTTTATTTATTTTGTGTTTGCATCAGATTCACCTGAAAAACCGTGAGCTCGAGAACACGAAGCTGAGTGCAGAGCTGCAGATGATGAAATCGGTGGACGTTAACAAAGACAACACCATTGCTCAGTTTAAAGAGGAGGTTGGACGACTGCAGATGTGCCTTACTGAGAAGGAGAACCAGTACAAAGAGATCATGGCCAAAGTTTCCCCCTTGGTACGCGCTGTTAACCCGTAGGTCATATTCAGTGTCAAGATACTCACATGCTCCATTTTGGACAATTTTGTGACAGGGAGACTTAAAGGCCCTCAAGGAGCAGCTGCGCCAGAAAGAGGAGCAGCTCCAGGCCAACCAACAGCAGTCGACAATGCTGGCGGCCGAGTTGAGGGATGCATCCAGTAGCCGTGACCGCACCATGTCCGAACTATACCACATGAAGCTGGAGGCTGATGCACTGCGACAGGCCAAAGCCGAGGCACAGGATCACTGTGACCGCTTGGAGGTACTGGTGGAGAAAATGAAGGAAGATGCCAATCAGGAGGCGGTAAGTCACTGCATTTACTTGCCATGACAGTAGGCACTTCTAGATGTAAACGATAATAAGTTGAAGGGAATTGTCCAGCTCATGACTCATCCTGTCTTTGGACTTCGCTGAGTTTACTGTGGAAATCATAAGAAATAAAAGAAATAGAGGTCCTCTGTTCCAGGGCCAGAATCCACTATATATGTCAGATCACGTGACCAAACCTAGAAATCAAGTTAGCGGTCTTATACAAACAAAGTTACCCACTAGTACATGGAAAAACTTTCAAGCAATACACACTACTTTAACTTGGATGAGAGATGGTATTTGTTTACAGTGAGAGACTTATTGCTTATCTGCCTTAAAATCAGAGGTAATTCGCTGACTAGCTTAGCGCCTTTGTTTGCGCATGAGTGGTGATGCAGTCATCTGATTGGTTGCTCTCTCTGTCAATCAAGTTAACGGGATTGATGATAGGCTGGCGGAGTACGTTCTGTGAAGTTAGCGCCTTGTTTGAATGGCATCGCCGCTGCCGAGGCGTTTTCGACGCTTGTCGTGTGAGAGCCCGGGAGCCGCACTGAACCAGCCAAAGAGCCGCATGCGGCTCGCGAGCCACCGGTTGGCCACCCCTGCTCTAAATGTTCAAATTGAATAAAAACACACACAAATAATCCCGAATACACCAGCCCTCTTGACTTATCCATCATAACTGTCTATTCTGTAGCCCCTCCCCCTTCCAATTTGAAATGATCGTTGACTGTGATCACTACAAATATGTCATGTTCAGCAGGCCAAAGCGGAAGAAGTCTGTACAGACCCGGCTCTCGTAGCAGAGCTGCAGAGAGAGGTGGAGGACCTGAAGCTGCGTCTGCACATGGCAGCCGAGCACTACAAAGAGAAATATAAGGAATGCACTCGCCTTCAAAAACAAGTGCTGAAATTATCCGAGCAACCAGGGGTGAGTCGGCACTCTGTTTACTGGCAGGACAGTCTCTGCCTATCACACCCTCGCACTTTCTTCATGTACTTCTTTTCTTTTGTTTTTAGAGTTAATTTTCAGTAATAGAAATGAGATAACGGTATTGTCTTGTGTGTAGGAGCCGAAGAGAAACTCAGCACAAGAGGTAACAACAGTACCTGCATCAGTGAGTCCAGACATGTCTGTTCCAGGTCAGTCTGTCACTTTGAAAAACAACTATTTCATTGTTTTGTCAATTGCTGCTGGCTTTTCCAACCCTTCACTCTTGCTCAACTATCTGATTAGCCTTCATGGTCCTCACAGGAAGTCCGGGTTCTGCAGATCCCATGCTGGAGGCCATCATCCAGGAGAAACTCAAAGGCATCAGCAGAGAGGCATCTGACAAGTATTCGAAATACAGGAAATACAAGCAATTGTTGATGGTAAGAAGCTTCACCTCTCCCTCTTTGTTAGTAGTTCTTTCTTAGTAGCTGTTGATTGTAGAAACTGTTTTCTTTTCCATCCTTGGCTGATTTTTCAGGAGGAAAAGGAGCGTAGCGGCATGATGCATGATGAGCTTGCCAAGATGACGGTGAAAGTGAAAGAGCACCAGAAGATCAGTGAGAATCTCAAGCTGCAGCTTGCATCAGAGGAAGACCGCTGTATGGTGGGTGCATCCTCCAGACTGTTTTCTCTTGTAAATGTCTTTTTGGTATTTTGTCCACCTATAAAATCAGATTCAGTGTATTTGACTGTCTGGGAAAACACAGAAATGAGGGCAATTTCTTAAAAGACTTGTTGCAAAGTTTGCCTATAGACTTTTAGAATAGTCTTTTATTTTGGAAAGTCACTATTGTGCGAGGTTATAGTCCAGAACTTGATGTTTTCCCTTAGTGTTCCCAGTTTGTCTTAGTTTAGATGCACGCTTTTCTCATAAGCTACTGTTAACTTACACTGGTTGTTTTATTTATTAAAAATAAAAAAATCCAAAAGACTGTTAGGAGAAATTGTTGTAGTACCTGGTCTAATATAGCAGAAATGCAGAACGTTGCAAATGTGTCACTATTGACTACTTTTAGAATCAACGATTCCATTGATTTATCGAATCCTGTGATAATTATTATTTGGTTTTGCTTTGGAGTGTGTTATAAAACTGCTGTTTCGTAATTTCGGGTACATTAAATGGAAAGCTTTTCAAAATATAAATATCAAAAAGAAAATGCATGTTAAAGCATCAGGTGGTCCTTGCTGTAAATCAGAAACAAAGTTACGTCCTCGGGAATTCACGACAGTGCAAATTGGAATAAAAGACTCATACTTAGAACACTTCGACAGAAACAAAAACAAGACAGTGAGTTAAGAATATAAATGGCTTCCTAACGATTATTGCTGATGTGTACCGGAATTTTACCCAGTGGTGACGAGCACATATAGTTAGTTACCATATTATAATTTGTACTCCCAAAAAAACTTTTCATGTGGCCAGACTGTGTAGTGGTGGAAATGGCCTCAGCCATTCCAGTGTTGTGTTCTCTTATGTATGGCTAATGTAAGCTCAGATGGGATCGGCATTTGATTACACGTCTTCCCTTGAGCACAATCCTTGTGACATTGTTGTTTATGAGCAGGCCCCATCTGCGAGACAACACTTTATGGCTGTTTATGTCCGCCAGCGGAGGCAAGGGAAGCTTGGCTCGGAAGAGCCCTCTCCAGTTGCCGTCCTAATGCTCCGCTTGGCTCGGGGGCAGGCTGATATTTGCCCGGGTGTCTGTGAGGAACTCAAACAAGTTGTTTGGCTCCGAGCGGCACCGCACATAAATCAGCACTCAGCAGCATAGAGGAATCTTTTTTTTTTTTTAACTCTTCTTTGAGGAGTGCATGACAGACGAAGGACAAGCAAAAACGAGTGTGCTCATGCTCATTGTTTATCCTTTGTTTACTCCAGAGCCAGGTAGCCGAGAAGGGGCGGGAGCTGAAAGAACTCAAGGAGAAACTGGAGGTGCTTTGTAACCGCTTTCCTTTTCTCTTTTATAGACTCCGTCCACCCTCCCGAAAAACAGCAGCCATTTTTTTCCAATCTGGTCTTGAGTGTTAAATGTCCCTGAATTGTAAAAGCAAAGTAAATGTGTTCTTATTTTCCCTTCCATTAGTTTGGACCACAGAGAGACCTAAAATGCCCAAAACTAATGTTTGGAGCCGCTTTGGAGGGTCTGAATGACCCAATTAGAGGGTTAGATTGTAAATTCAAAAGGCATCTGCAACTAACATCAATAAAACAAAGTGGTCCCGGTGCCTTTGAGAGAAGAGGATTTTATATATATA